TTCCCTACGCCGATTGTTGAGTCTGTCGCGACAGTTGGAGTAGACTCGATATTCCTAGTAGCGTTTTTCTGGAGAAGGCACAAACAACCTTCAGAAGGCTGACGGCTCGCATGCGGCCAGTTGTTTTCCTCTCTCTTAGCCGCTAGGTTTTGACACACTTATAAGCGATTGTTCCCGCCGAAGCTGCATGGTATGTTCCAAACCGTCCTGCTGTTGGGCCAAATGTGATTGTTGCTCATGAAGCTGTTTCTGAGTGTCGTCCAATTTGGAAGAAAAGATGTTGTGTTCCTGCATTTTGGCCATTTCCCACTGTAGGGCTTCCATCCTATCCTCCAGGGTGTTCGGCCGACCAGGCGTTTCCACTCGGGGTATGCCGGGCGGCGCAGCGAGCTCTGCTAGCGAGGCCGAGGATAGGACCATCGGTCACAAGGGGCGAATGTGGGTTCATAGTTAGGTGGAAAAAGAGATATGGGCTGATTGTCAATCGAGCTTCCCACAGACGGCGCCAATCTATTAGTGCTAAAACTAAACAGATAGAAATAAAGCTAACTTACTGGTGACGTGGAAGGTTTGGACTCGAGAAGCCTTTAGTCTGTGGTGTCTTCCCACGAGGGGTCATGCCGGATTCTGCATGGGGAGAGAAATGGCAGGTGAAGCTTAAGACACCAGTGTGGTGCGGACCGAAGGTCCTCCGATGCCAAAGTTAGTGACTAAAAGCGATTCTATTGACACAATGAAAGCACAAGTCAAGTCAAGAAATAGTCTTACCTCTTGGCTGGGCCAAGTGACTCTATTTATAGAGATCATTTGTGATGCTCTTAGTATTTAGTTTTGATGTGGGACTTGTGGGAGTGTCTTCAGCGGTCGACGTGTGCCCTAACAGGTTCTAGTGGGAGTTCCAAGGTGATCTGTCAAAATCGGTCAAATGTGTTGATTGGTCGCTTGGCATCGTCTGCCGAAGGTTGGTGTCTTTTGTCAGTTTGTAGGCACTCCACCGATTTGAGCAGTATGAATCGGTGGAGCATGCCGATCGAAGTTTCGACATGGCTCACTGAGTTGTTATGGCCGTGCAGATTTTGCCACGTGTTAAGACGTGAGTGGGGAGGTTAGATATGGTACAAACTCAACTAAACTCTTCCTGCAAATATGAAAAAATCTTTTCTTTCATTACCACAACAAATATCTCAATAACTTTCCTAGTTGAAGTCTTAAAACAAATCGATTCATGATAGGTTTTATAATTATTAGTTATTGTATCCCAAACACCCAGAACAATGTAATTATCTAAACCAATTATCTTCATATATAGATCTAGAAAATATAGAAGACGAGAGGGGCATGAATCATGATGCAGCAGCAGTGAGAAATCCAATACAACTGCCATGGTGAAGAGAGGGAACCGTCATGGGAGAATGAGTGAGCAAGATGGATTTAGTAGCATCGGTGAGAAATTTGGCAATAATGGAAATTTTGTGGGAAGAAGGGGGGGGGGGTTGTGGGGGAGGAGGAAGAAGAAAAAGGGAGATGGAAAGACTTTTTTGGTAATTATTGCTTTAATTAGGACATAATTAAAAAAAACTAAAAAAAACTTAACTGTATTAGATGAGTTGGCATGCCACATAAGGTGGTTTATAAAAGGTATTTTATGAATAATGGTGGGTAAAAATATATGATTGTATTTTTTCAAATTTATATGTTGGGTAGGAAGATAAAGTGAGTGGAGAAATAAGATAGGGAGTGGAAATAGTAACACTCATTTGCAGATGAATATAAATGTCAATTTATTTGAAGAAAATAATATATAAATTGGGTGCACCCTTCACCATTTGTTTTGGTCTCAATTTGGGAACGGATTGACCGTAGCAAGCAGCAGTTGGGTTTGGGCTTTTGTTTTCAATATGTCATCAAGTTCTGTCAAACCCGACCCTCTAACTTACCAGACTACCCGGTAAACCCTAACATCTCTCATTCTCTCCTCCGTCTCGCTCTTTACAACAGACTGAATTTGACGAGATCTCCATCGCATCCCATCATCCCTCTTTATTTTTAAGGTTCAAATCTCTCTCTCTCTCTCTCTCTCTCTCTCTCTCTCTCTCTGTTATAGCTTTCGTTAACTTATTTAGCACATTATGCTTTGTTGTTTTTATTTGATTGAGCTCACTATCTTGTCTGCGATGTCTGTGTCTCGTTTTGAAAGCTTAAACTTTTTGTTGGTTATTTCTGCGATTTCAGGGAATTCATGAACTGGGTTTTTCTTTTCAGAGAGGCATTCTGATTAGGTAGAGGTTTTGTATAAATTATTAAATTGCGTGGGGGGTTTTAGGCGTTCAGCTCCGAAAATGTTTCAGAAATTTGTTTACTTGGATTTGTTTTTGGCTTTTGGATTATTTTCAGCTTCAAGCGTCAAATTTGTTCTCATATTATTACATGCAAGTAGATATTTTGGTGTTTGGTGTAGTTGCTTCTTGGTTAATGGAATACAATCGTGATTCGTGTATGTGGTATTGAGAAAATTTAACTCGGGTGGTTCTTACAATAAAGATGAAATTTTTTTGTCAAAAAGTTTTATATGACTCGTACCCATGAAGTAACAGCAATCGGTATTTGCTTTTCAACCTGCGTATCTCGTGTGGGTTGTGTTTTATGAGGAACTTGGACTGTAGTTAGTTGAAATTGGTATTTAGCCTTTCTGAAACTCATTTTTTGATCAGTCTGTTGTTGAAACTCCCTCATTTAATTATTAACACTCATGTTGTAGGGATAAAATCATGGCTATGAGTCATGTCAAAACATTTAGAAGCATTATCAATACCAGCGAAGCAGTTGGGATAGTGTCACGACGAACATTTGCTATCGGGGGCGGTAAAGCAAAAAAGGGTTCAAAAGGTGCTTCTCAAGGTGATGCACCAAAAGCATCAAATCTGGACAAAGAAGTTAAGTCTACTACAGTCGTCGGAGCCAATATTCTCAAAGACGGAACAGATCCTAAGATCTTGCCAGATGCTGAGTACCCTGATTGGTTGTGGCGTCTACTTGATAAACGCCCAGCATTGAGTGAATTAAGTAGGAAGAACATTGAAACTCTCCCATACGAAGGTCTCAAACGTTTTGTTAAGCTGGATAACCGAGCAAGGATCAAGGACAACAACTCTCTTAAGGCCAAGAACTAGTTAGATATTTTTTGCTTTGCAAAGAAATGAACTGAAAATCGTCAAAAAGGCTGCTTCTGTGTATGATTCCAGGGCAGGTTAGGTGTACTTTTCTGTGGAAATGCTCTTTTGTATGTTTTGAGTCATCTCAGTCTTGGAATTAACTTTTATTGATTGCCTCTTCACTGAACAAATTGGGAAAAAGTTTTGAGGCTCTGTTCTTATTCTAGAAACGTAAAGGACTGGTCTCGCGAAATTTCATTAGTAAAAAATCCCTTCAACTATGAAGAGTTTGCTTAGGTCTCCTATATGAGCTGGAAAGTCATGCTGCATGCTATTAGAGCTAACTTAGAGATGGTAGATTTTACTTACTACAAGATTAGAGGTGATATTTCTGAAGCAGCTGCTGCCGATGTAAAATGTTATTCTGCCAGTGTTTGGAGATTGGACTTTAGTTATGGAAAATGATTCCAAAACTGGCTTAGGCTAGTATTTATTGCTGCAACATATGATTCCTAAAAACTTACATCTGAAGTATTACCATTGTTTGCTAGAAGTTTTGTCAGCATATGTTTCTTTTCTCCGGCAGAAGAAATTGCCCCGGGTTCACTGTTCGCGACATGCTGGGTGTCCAGATTTAAAATGGTAACACGTTCCCCTCTGTATAGAATTAATATTGACAAAGAAATTCATGTACTTAGAGTTGGAACAAAACCAGAAACTTGAATTAACTTGAACTATTTGTCACGGGATGAGCGAGCGGCGCGGCGCGGCGGAAGCGAAACACAAATTTCGCCACTCAAAGCACACCCGTGCGGCCTAGGATCTCTTCAGATCCCAGTCAGCCTTCTCCCACTTCATGATATACATGACTCTCACAACTCCGCGAGAGGTTCCCCTTCCAGTGTCGTCTTCCCCTAGACAACGAGTCACACTACCATGTGATAATACAATCACTCCGCATCCGGCAACGAACCCTCGACGCCCATACATCAAGCGTTGCATAAGACACGTTAACTGCATCGACCACGTCGCCAATCTCTTCTAGGTACGAATCCCTCACACAGAAACCACCATCTGAATTGATCGACCCAAATACCATTGAAGGTTGTGGTAAACTTGGTTGGCAACAAGTGTTGAGCAGACAGTGTGAGACCCTTGTTCAGGGAAGATTTGTGAGGGCGGAAGACCGAAAGGGGTCTGTCTTCGAAGGAAGTAAGTTGCTGACGAACTAGGCTCCATTGAGGGAGTAAGTTGCTGAAGGACTAAGCTTTAAAGAAGAAGTCGCTCAAGTGGTTGCTCTTGCAACTGTGGAGAACGTGGGGGTGATGCACAATGGTTGACACAAGGTTGCTAACTGATTTTCGGAACGAGGGAGTGTTCCAAAGAGGTAGATCCCGGAGTCTCACTTGTGAGCATGGTTTTTAAGGACATGGTGTCTGTCCGCACTCGATGGCAGACAATGTTGGAGTAACTTGGGTGTTGACAACTTACTTGTTCCCGTGGGGATGCTATAGAAGTGGTTCTGCCGAGTCCGAGTTTGGGCGTTGGTAGTCAGGTAGTTCTACTCGTAGTAGGGATGATGTCTAACCTTGGTGAATTGTGATGGCCTAAGTGTGGTGGAACTTTGCTGTGGAGACACCTTGAGGTGAAGGTGTGCCAACGAGATAGGAAGGGGAGAACCTCGAATGCCTTGGAAGTATGGCAGTGCAGGAGCACGAACAAATGGGGGTGCCGTGGAGGACACACGGTTGGCTTTCGAGTCACACCCGGGTGGGGTGCATCTTTTTAATGTGGAAATTAAAGTGGCACATAGCATGAAGAAAAGCTGATATTTTTTTGCAGATTCTTTAAATACAAAGTTACCAACTAAGGCTATCTCCAGCCATGGGCTATATCTCAAATATAGCTCTAAATTAATGCAAAACTCATCTCCAGTCATGGGCTAAATAAAATTTTGGCCAAATTTGGAGGGCCACATTTGGCCCTTTAGCCCTCTAACCGGGCCAAATGTAGTCTAGCTTTGGCCTAGGCCAAATTTATAGTGGGCCCTATCCATGTGCTTTTCAACAACCAATCATTAAAGCACTCTCTACTCCCCATTTCAAAATAATAAAATATGAAGGACCCTAAAATATAGCCTTGCATGGCTGGAGATGGAAAAATTTAGCCATGCACTATTTTTTTAAAAATTAATATTTTAGGGCGCTAAATTTTTAGTCGTGTACTACATTTAGCCCTATGACTGGAAATGGGGGATATGGCACTTTATTGTTCATAGTGAGCCTATATATACAAATGAAATACTGCAACGTTGAAATTTAAAATTAAATTATGTTCTTGATGGGCTGGTTGGGTTACACCGGTTGAAGTCCAACTCGGTTGAACCATTCTTGCTGGTCCTTTTTGTCCCTATTGCCCAACTGAATTTCGTTATCCTCTTCATTAATTTTTCCTTTAGGTTTTTTACCATTTGAATTTAGACCCTTTCAACTTAAATAGTCTAGACAAAAATCCACCTACTTTTTTACTTCCAATATAAGCCCAAAATTTGAATTAAATGCCATCAAGAATACAAGTTGTCCATGTATTATAAGTTATTTACAATTCATGCCACAAGACCCACCATACATAATAGTGAATCTCTCTTTTCTTTTCCCCTTTGAAATCCCTTATTTTTAGCCTTAGCTTTAACTATTCTTTAATTCCTACTTTCCTGGGAATTCAATTGATGAGGGGTGGGAACTTAACAAGAAATGACAGTATCAATATGTTTTTGTCAATTTTGAGACTTGTTTGACCTACATTCATACTAATTCTATTCCATGTATATTATGTATGTAAACTAATTTAGCTATATCGAATATTGACACTATGTTATCTGTATTTTGTGCACACACTAATTCTATCGTATCATTTTATAATTTCTCCTCTATAAGAGGTACATTAGTTTGCAGTGGATATGGTATTCACAAAAAAGTCCTAGGTACATAAAATAAATTTAGGTATATTATTGTCCATAAAAATAATAAATAAATATTTTTTTCTTTTTTATTTATAAGATAATAAGTAATTTTTCGTTTATAAAAATTAAATAATAGATACATTATATTTTCGAAGTCATTAGTATGCACGCTGTTATTTATAAAAGGTAAGTAGATTATTTTCTTAAATCACATAGAATTCATAAATACAAAATAACAGAGATATTGTTTTAATTAAATCCGCCTATTATGTACTTTAAATCTGAAATTTAATGTCGAAATTTAAAAAAAAAAACTTTCCAAATTAAATCCACCTATTGTATTGTTTTAATTAAATCCACCTATTACAACCAGATTTCATGGAAAGAAATGTACGTAATCTTTCCAAAATTCAACGTATATCATTAGTTACAACCAAATTTTAAAAACTTTCCATATTAATTTCAATATTAATATACAAAATACAATTTAATTGGGGGTATTTTAGGGATGCGAAAAATATTAAATCGTATACACAAGCAAGCAAACACCATATTTCTGCGTTTCGCAGTGGTTGAGTGATTGGGCAGGTCCTTCAAACCCGGTCCAGTTACCAGACCGGCCTCGCATAAGCTCCCACAAAAAATAGCCTACGCCTGAGTCTCCTCTCACTCTCTCCTCTGCAGGTTTTCCATTATCGAACCGACCCTCGAATTAGGGTAATTAGTTTATTTTCCCTCCACTATTTTTCATTCTTCTTAAGCTGTTAACTGGTTTCGTTGAATCATAAACATTCAAGATTTCATGGTTGATATAAATCTTGTTTATTTTCATTTTTAATTTATTCATATATTAGTTATGCAGCTTTTAATGGGTTGAAGTTTCTGCAGTTTATGATGTAAATGATATTGGGTTCATTGTGGAATAGTTGTATTGATTATTTTCTAAATGCATTGTTGAATCGCTGCCTTTGTGATTGAATGAAATAATTTCTAGCTTCAGCTATTGTTTTTCTTTTTAGCTAAAAGTACAACAGTGAAGTAACAGTCCACCCAATGTACAATCTCAAAACTAATGCAGGAAATACGTAAGACACAAGTACAAATTAAAATCTTCAGAAACAACAGCTCCCTAATCGACATGAATAAACAGGAAATGTAATGTATATCTCTAAACTCAATAGAACTTGATGCCCACCTTGAAGCCGAAAGGGGCAGAGAGGTTAGAATGTTTGATGAGGGATTTCGTGTGGGAAGGAAGAAAGACTGCTTGATGAACCAGGAGGTGGTATCTCGAACAAGGGAGAAAGGGATTGGGAGATTGGCGATTTGGTCCAAATAAAAAAGTTTGCTGTTATTAAGAGTAACTATGACTTACATAATATTAGTTAGGATGCTAAGCAGGTGGTTAGGGGTTCTAGTAGGTGGAATTGGAGTATTTCTGAAGTAATGGAAATCTTTTTTTGGCTGCTGTGAGTGGGGACAGGGTAAATGTGAGATTGTGGAAGTATTGTTGGGGTGGTGAAGAACCATTTTGCTCTAGTTTCATAGTTGATTTAGATTGTCCAGTTTGCGGAATTCTAAGGTTGATGGATTGGGATTGTGGTTTTCAAAGAAACTTGAATGAGGAGGAGAGTAGAGAAGGGAAAAGCGTGGTTGTAAGAAAAACTATACTGTTTTGGAAATTTCGTCCAAAAAAAAGAAAAATACTGTTTTGGAAAAACAATCTAAATGTGAGACAGCTGCACTCTTTACTTTGTGTTTTGTTATGTATGTTCATAATAGTAACTATTAATATAGTTATTAAAGGTTATATCTTGTTGAAATATTTGATATGCTACTATGTGTCAGTAAGAATATGTTGAGACATTTATTCTAATTGTTATCCAGATGGTAGTTGCTGACTTATTTACTGTTTGTTTGTTTTGTTCTTTTTTACATGTAGACGGATGGAGAGTGCTAGAATAGCAAGGTGTAGTTATTGTTCATTAACTGTTGTCATTGCATTGTCTGAAAATAGTAAATATTTGGATATTTGTAATGAGATATGCTTAAGGTTTAAGGAACTGAAAGTGGGGAGCTTTGACCTGACGTATTCTCTTCCTGACCACCCTAATTGTTTGCTACAATCTGATATGGATTTGCATATGATGTTGATGTGTTTAACAATGTTGAAGATTAGTTTTGTTGATATATTGGTGAAGGATCTTGTGAGTTCAAATAATGATAATGGTGATCAAAAGTGTGAAGAGTCTGATCATACAGCGTCTAATCATGCAATGTCTAATCGTGAAGTCTCGAATCGTACAGCACCTTTATCATGCACATTAGAAAGTCGTAGTGCCATTGATGAGAATGACCATTTTGGGGACTCCAGGTTGGATGGAGGCAATGCCTATTTGTCTCAGTACTGGAAGGAATATATTAGTCATGACGGTCAGAGATTTGAGGGGGGTGTAACTGAATTTCGTAACAAGTTGTGTAAGTATGCTGCTCATATGAGATTTCGTATTGCTTATGTAAAGAATGATAAAGAACGTGTCCTTGCTGAATGTTTTAAGAAGATTTCAGATGGTTGTAATTGGCGTATATATGCTTCTCTATGTCGAGGGAATGGTTTTTTCTACGTAAGGAGTCTGAATAATGTTCACACATGCACGCCTGTTGTCGATGAACAGAAAAGTAAGATGATGAGTTCAAGGGTTGTATCTTCTGTTCTTGTGGATCAAATCCGCGAGAAACCAACAATTAAACCAGCAGATATTGTCAAGGATTTTAAGCAAAAATATGGTCTTGATATCTCTTACCATAGTGCTTGGCACGGGAAAGAATTGGCTAAGAGTGAGGTTCATGGTAATGAATCCTTGTCTTATAATCAGTTAGTTCAGTATAGAGATGCTTTAATGTCAACTAATCCAGGGTCACATTGTGTCTTGGAGTGTGATCCAACAACTTCTCGCTTTCAAAGATTGTTTATTTGCTATGGTGCTTGCATTGAGGGATTTAGATGGTGCAGACCTTTGCTGTTCATAGATGCAACCTATTTTAAAAGTAAGTATAAGGGGCAGCTAATTGGTGCTACAGGGAGGGATGGAAATCAAGGTACAATTAGTTACGTTTTTTACTATGATGAGTGATGAGTCACTATACATGGATTTTTACAATAGAAAATGAAACTCTCATAGGTAGTTATCTGCTTGATAGTTACATCTATATGTTGTATATATTGTGATTCTTGATAAGATAAATCTATATTTTGCTTAAATATCGTATAACTTATCCATTCCCTTTTTATGTTATTGGTTTTTAGGATTTTTCCCATTTGCTTTTGCTATCTTGGACTCAGAAAACGAGGAAAACTGGAGGTGGTTTTTTGAAAATTTAGCTAAAGTTTTGACTCCACAAGGTAGGACGATTACTTTTGTATCTAATCATAACAGAGGTGCGACCGAAGATGTTTCAAACATATTTCCAACATCCCATCATGCATTTTGTTTGAATGATATGAAACAGAACCTCTCATCTAAATATCCGGCTAATTTTGGTAAATTTTTTCGGGATCGAATTGTTGAGCTTTTTACGAAATGCGTATATGCTCCAACTGAAGCTGCTTTTGAGTTTAATATGAAAAATTTAAAAGATGAAGGCGGTGCTCCTATGAAGACCTTTCTAGAAAATTTCCCCAAGGAGAATTGGTCATATGCCTATTTTAAGGGTAATCGATATGGTGACATGTGCAGCACTGTTTCTGAATCATTTCAATCTTGGATTTCGGAGCTTTATGGGCTGCCTATTTGTCAAATGGTTGATGGCATCAGGATTAAACTCATGGGACTGATGTCTCAAAGGAGTTGTGAAGCAAAGGAATGTTGTTCTATTCTCTGTCCTGTGATGGAGAAAACCTTGAACGAAATGTCGATTGTTGGTCGGCATTCGAATGCTATCCGTTCTAGTGCTTCTGTTTTTGAGGTTCATGCTGAAGGTTCTTTTCTGGTTGATTTGGATAAGCATTTTTGCTCCTGTCATGAGTGGCAAATAAAAGGCTTTCCCTGTGCTCATGCAGTTGTTGCTGTTCAAAAAAATTCGGGTTGCATATATGAATACATTGATGATTATTTCAAGTTGAACTATTTTAGAAGTTCATATGCAACTCTTATTTCTCCCATACCTGACATTAAGGATGCGGTGCATGGGTGTTCAGATGATATTGTTATCCTTCCTCCACTTACTAGGCAGCCAGGGACTAAAAAGATGAAATCTGCTGGTGAGTTTTCAAGGGCTGTTACATGCAGTCGATGTGGTGCAGTTGGACGGCATAATAAGAAGACATGTACTGCAAATATGTGATTCTGTTTTGCGGTGTTTATTTATTTATTAACCTTTTCAACTTTTTTAGGTTCATATTTGCATGATTCTAGAGTTGTTATTCGATTGTTAAGATATAACACAATCACTTAAGCAAAAGGTAGAGCACAAGCCACAGAGCCACAATCATAACAGTACTTCACATGATAGAACACAGAACCGTGCATGGTTATGTCAGGTTTCCTTTCGAAGAAAGTACCTTTTAAATCAGCCCTTTTGTTATCTCCTAGTGTGTTTTTTTATTATAATTTTGGAATGTTTTATGGAATTTTGTTAGCTTTGTTGGCTTATTCTGACGGTATTTTTAAAATCAATTTTCTTTTAGGCTAAATTTGAGAATTAAATTGATTTTAGATTAAATCTCATTAGATAGCAAATTAGTTATCCCTCTTTGCTGACTACATAAGTTTAACTCTCTATGATTGTTTTTGTGTTCAAGGTTTTAGCTTTCGATCTGTAGGTGTCTGATTTGTTTTATAAAGTTCATGCATGTTCTGGTTTAGTAGATCTTGGTACCCTTGTTTTGTTGCTGAGAAGACGGAGGAAAATATTGTTTTCAGTAATGAACATTTTTAGCTCATCTCAACGGTATAGATTGTCAGGTTCAGTTGCAGGTGCAGCATTTTGTCTGTGTGTTTCAGGCAACCATCTTCTTAGGATTAGGGGTGTACAAGATTCAATCCAATCCACTCAATTCAACCGATCCAATCCAATCCAATTTTAATCAACTTTGATGATTTTGCGGTTTGAATTGGATCCCTAATTTTCAAAACCGACATGATTGGATCAGATGACGGATTTTCTTGTGAGGATCCAATCAAATCTAGTTAATTTCATGCTTCTTTGCTTATTAGATAATTGTCATTAAGATAAGAAAGTTATGAATATTTTAAGTAATTTGATGGAGTTATGTTTAATATATTATAAATCAAAATAATTTTCTCTAGCCTTTAATTTATATTTTACATTTTAATATATTAAAGTGTTTGATTATATTAAACTTGACAATAAATGTTGCAAATTTCATTATTATCTTTTCCATTATGAAAATTGATCATCCAATCCAATTCAATATCAATTAGATCGGATCAAATTGGATTTAAACCTCTAATGTGATCGGATTGGATTGGAAAAATCATAATCCAATCTATATTGGCTCTGATTTGGATTGATGAAATTGTATTGGTTTTAAACTGACATACACCTCTACTTAGGATGGATGTGCTTGTATCCTGATTTTCATGTTCACCATGGGGTTGAGGATAACTTTGGGATATTCTTTTGTATTTGTATTTTTTTAATTTACTTATAAATCTTGTATTGATTTTTTTGGAATTAATAAAGTTATCCTCTTAACAAAAAGAAACAAAAATATTTAAAATTTATTGAAAAAAAAAAGTTAGAGTTAGATTTTTTTTAGGACATTTCCTATTGAGATGAGCGATTTAGCATTGGTAATGTGTGTGAGAAAACCTCCTATCCTTTTTGAAAATATATATATATATACACACACACAATACATTGTTCTGAAATTTGGTCCGTGATGAGAAATTGGGTCTTTTTATTTTTGCCATTATGAGAAATTGGGTCTTTGCTCGCATAAATTTCAGGGGTAGTGATAAGAGTTCCCAAAGCCCAAAAAAGAGTGAGTTTTTCACATTTAAGCCCATTTATAGGGCCCAAATTATAGGAAAATCCTATAATACTTAATTTTTTTTTTAAAACAAGGCCCATTTGACTTCTTAAAGGGACTAAATATATTATAAGTCTTCAACAATCTGAAAATTACAATACTACCATCATATGTTTTGCTAAAATCATTCAGACATTATTCAAATTAATTTATATATATATATATATATATATATATAAAGCAAAAAGCAGAAAATGGTGAAACATTTAAAACACCAAAAAATGTCATTGATTAATTCAAATAATAAGAATTGAAATTATTAATTAAATGAGGACAATATAGTAAATTCATATTTTTCATATTAAAAAAATTTAAATTAAAAACAAAATCAGATAATAGGTTCTACTTTTATGAAACATAACTACCCATGTTATCTTTTATTAATTCTAAAAATAAAAATATATATATATATATTTATAGCTAGATCGTTTTTTTTAGTTTTTTTCTTTAATTTGTAGTATTTAGGGTTTTTATATAAAATCAATGCAAGAAATGTGGTTTATTATAAATTTCTCAAAAAGAATCCGAACTACAGCAAGTTCAGTTGCTCTCTCCTCTGTTATACTCTTCAAGTTGGCGCGAGACACCCTCCGTCTCCGTCGCTCGCAATCCCTCTTCATTTAAGGTTCGTCCCTCTCTCTCTCTCTCACGCCTTTTGCTCAATTATCTAACCCAAAAAAACAAAAAGCATTTTCTTGCAAGTTTTCCGATTGGGGTGCTTAATTATTTTGCTTTTACTATTACTCGAAAATTCTCAGTTTTTTTTTTCTTTCTTCCTAAACTCTTAACCGGTTTTAGTTCTTAATATATGCTATTGTTGCTAGCTAGTATAAGCATGATAAGCATCATCCCATCCCATTAAGAGTTGAAGTTTTGTCAATTTTTACTTAAAGACTTTATTAAACCTGGTTATATGCCATTATACATTTATTGTGTTTGGTAAATTTTCAGGTATTCTGTAGTGCTTTAAGCCTTGAAGTGTAGAACTTAGAAGATTTTATGATGTAAGTGTTGAAACTAACTAGATTATCGAGAGGTTTTGTGAACACTGGGTATATTGCACTGAAAACTCAGAAGCATCCTTATTAAATTGAAAGACAATAACTGACTATTAAATAGCCTTACAATAACAGGAAAGTGAAATAACACCCCACGACTACATCAACCTAGAGTCGTGGTAATTTACTAACTCAAAACAAGATAACAAACTTGTCCCTCAAGTATAGGAGGGTTATTAGCACGTTCAGGGAATAAGCCCCTAAAACAAAGGAACCTTATCAACTAGGATCTTTGACAACTTCAACATCCTCCCTTAAACTGAATACTAAAGATTCAGTTTATTCCAGGCCATTTACGTACACCCATCAAGTCTCGCAGCTTCTGAAAAACTTCAAGTTTCAGTGGCTTCGTCATTACATCTGCAATCTGCTCCTGAGTAGAACACTGCAGCAGCTCCACTACTTCATCTTTAACAAGATTTCGAAGAAAATGAAACCTTACATCTATATGCTTACTACGACCGTGCATTACTGGATTCTTTGAAAGCTTAATGGTTGAGACGTTATCACAATAAACCACTGTTGGACCAGTTTGCCTCAAATTCAAGCAACTCAAAATTCTTCTTAACCACACCACTTGACACGTACTTGAAGCAGCAGCAATGAATTCTGCTTCAGTAGTAGAGAGAGTGACCACTGGTTGCTTCTTCGATGACCATGATACTGCTCCTGAATTCATCATAAATACATAGCCTGAAGTACTCTTTCTGTCATCTTGATCACCAGCGTAGTCACTATCCGTATAGCCAATGAGCTCTCCATCTCCTCCCTTCTTGTAGAACACCCCGAAATCAATAGTTCCCTTCACGTATCTTAAAATTCTTTTAGCTGCCAACAAATGAGTCTCAGTAGGATGCTCCATATACCTGCTGATTAGGCTTACAGTGTACATAAGATCAGGTCGTGTAGCTGTTAAGTACATAAGACTCCCAACCATTTGCTTATAGAGCGTGCTGTCTACTTTGGCTCCCTCTTCATCACGAGTGAGTTTGAAACCAGGAACCATAGGGTTATGCACTGAGTTACACTGACCCATGTTGAACCTGTCTAACACTTCTTGTGCATACTTACGTTGACACATAAATATACCATCTGGTTTCTGTATTACTTCAATGCCAAGAAAGTATCTCATATTTCCGAGATCAGTCATATCAAATTCTAGCATCATGGATCTCTTAAATTCCTCAAACATCACCTCATCATTCCCAGTGAATATGAGATCATCAACATATAGGCATACAATCAAAATTTTACCTGCTTTGGCTGTCTTGATAAACAATGTGTGCTCAAAGGGACATTTGCTGAAGCCCTCCTTGACAAAATATGCCTCTATTCGACTGTACCATGCTCGTGGAGCCTGCTTGAGCCCGTATAGTGCCTTCTTGAGACGATAAACCTTGCCTTCGCTTCCTTTCTGTACATATCCAAGTGGTTGCTCAACGAAAACTTCTTCATTGATCTCTCCATGCAAGAAAGCTGCTTTGACGTCGAGTTGATAAATCTTCCAACTTCTTTGTGCAGCAATAGAAATAACTACTCGAATTGTATCCATTCGTGCCACTGGTGCAAATACTTCAGAATAATCCACTCCATATTGTTGGCAATATCCCTTCGCGACGAGCCGAGCCTTATACTTGTCCACCTCCCCATTTTCATTTAATTTTGTCTTGAAAATCCATTTGACTCCAATAACTTTTCCCCTTGATGGTAAGTCAATCAGTTCCCATGTATTGTTCTTTTCTATTGCTTCTATTTCTCTATCCATTGCTTGTTTCCACTTCTCACTCTTCACGGCTTCACAATAGCTAGTAGGATCGTCATTAGTAAACAAGGCTAGATGAGCCAAGTTCATGCCTTCTTCATCAGAGAGACCTTCACCAGTGTCATAGTCTCTCATCCAAATTGGTGGCCTTCGAGCTCTTCCCTCTTGAGTTGTATTGCCTTCATTTGTGGTATCTTCAGATTCAAGGGAATTCTCACCCTCTGACTCTTGCACATCAGATTCTCCTTCATTCACTTGATCTTCTTCTTCATTTCCTTTATCTTCAGTACCTGTTTCTTCATCAAGGTCAGCTAAAATAGCTTGCTCATGACTGTCATCCCAATCCCATTGTTGATCTTCCTCAAACACTACATCTCGGCTTATAGTGATTTTATTCGAGATAGGATCAAACAATCTATAGGCTTTGGACTCCTCACTTACCCCCAACAGTATACATTTGAGGCTTTTGTTATCAAGCTTCAATCTTTTGCTATCAGGTACGTGTGCATGAGAGATGCAACCAAAGACCCGAAAGTGCTCCACTGATGGTTTGCGCCCACTCCATGCTTCCTCAGGTGTTTTACTTTTTACTGCAAGGGTTGGACTTCGATTCAGCACGTGAACTGCCCAATTCACTGCTTCAGGCCAGAAGGTCTTTGGAATCTGCTTCTCTGACAGCATACATCGAACCATATTCATGATGGTTCGATTCTTCCGTTCAGCAACCCCGTTCTGCTGAGGCGTGTAGGCAGCTGTCAACTGCCTATGAATGCCATTCTCATTGCAGAAATCTGTGAATTCATGTGATGTGAATTCACCGCCTCGATTCGTCCTCAAGCCTCTTATGAATGCTCCTGTTTCCTTCTCCACTTTGGCTTTATACATTTTGAACACAGTGAAGGCTTCTGATTTCTCCACCAGAAAGTAAACCCAAGTTCTTCTACTATAATCATCAGTAAAAGTGATGAAATATCTCTTCTTACTATTTGAGATTGGGTTTATGGGACCACAAATGTCAGCGTGTATCATTTGAAGGATTTTTGAAGCTCTCCATTCACTTTCCCTAGGAAAAGAGTCACGATGCTGCTTCCCAACAAGGCAGCCTTCACACACGTTCTGAGAAGCTTTGAGCTTTGGCAGCCCCTCAACCATATTCTTTTGTTGTAGCACCTTCAATCCGTTCCAACTTAGATGTCCATATCGACAATGCCAGCGATCAGCTTGATCTGTGGTTGTCATGGAGAGACAGCTTTGTTCCTTTGCCGGACAGTGTGCAACCAAGGCAAACATTCTGTTGTGTGTCATCTCTGTTTCAAGAATGAGACCTTTCTCAGGGTGAAAGATCTTACACTTTCCGTGTTGAATTAGCACTGCAAGTCCCCTCTCTTGTAGTTGACCGATACTCAGCAAGTTAGTCTTTAATTCAGGTACAAAGAACACATCTGTAATCACATGCACAATCCCATGCACCTCCATTCGTACTTTGCCTTTGCCATGCACACTAAGACTGAAGTTGTTTCCCAGCTTGACTGACTCTCGGAAATTGGCATCTATTTCGACAAATGCTTCCTTCTTGCCACACATATGGTTGCTACAACCTGAGTCAAGAAACCAAATATGTTCCATCTCAGCTTCCTTTGCATTCACCAGCGCCATTAGCAGCATTTCTTCATTTGTTTCTGCGAAATTGGCCTTTGAGTCCATAGCCTTCTTAGGACATTCCCACTGAAAGTGTCCTAGCTCGTGACAGTTGTAGCATTCTAGGATAGATTTGTCGAACCCAAATCTACCCCTTCCTCTTCCTCTTCCTCGATAAGAGCCACGACCACCACTTCTTCCTCCTTGTTGGACTCCAGCGGTAACTTGGAGAGCTTGTTCGTCCATCACATGTCGACCCATCCTTTGTTCATGCACAAGCAAACTGCTCTGAAGTTCATCAATAGATAGAGTATCCAAGTCATTCGACTCCTCAATCGAACAGACAACATAATCAAATTTTGAAGTCATAGACCTCAAAATTTTCTCAATGATCACTATATCTTCCATTCTGTCTCCATGCACCCTCATCTTATTGGCTATGGTGAGTGTCCTCCCAAAATAGCCATCGACAGTTTCTCCAGCCTTCATATGCAATACTTCGAACTCCTTTCGAAGTGCTTGCAACTGAGCACGCTTCACACGTGCAGTTCCTTTGTACTTCTGCTTTAAAGAATCCCATATGTCCTTCGCCGTGTCCTTCTTTAAGATCGTTTCCAGGGTTGAACGATCAATGGCCTGAAACAAATAGTTCTTGGCCTTCAAGTCTTTCAGCTTCAGCTCCTCCAGTGCCTTCTTCTGCGCATCACTGGAGTCAGCTCCTCCTGCGGCTGCAGGGATCCCTGTCTCCACCAGGTTCCAATACTCCTTGGAACGTAGAAAGTTTTCCATAAGCATGCTCCAGTGATCGTAGTGCCCATCGAGTCTCGGGATGGCAGGTTGCACAAAGCCATTCTCGGATGTCATGTTCTTGTTCTTTCACACAAGCAACAGTGTTTTTTTTTTTTGGTCAGGCCCCGTGATGTTGCTCTGATACCAAATGTTGAAACTAACTAGATTATCGAGAGGTTTTGTGAACACTGGGTATATTGCACTGAAAACTCAGAAGCATCCTTATTGAATTGAAAGACAATAACTGACTATTAAATAGCCTTACAATAACAGGAAAGTGAAATAACACCCCACGACTACATCAACCTAGAGTCGTGGTAATTTACTAACTCAAAACAAGATAACAAACTTGTCCCTCAAGTATAGGAGGGTTATTAGCACGTTCAGGGAATAAGCCCCTAAAACAAAGGAACCTTATCAACTAGGATCTTTGACAACTTCAACAGTAAGTGGCTTTTGATTCATTGTTGAATACTTCTATAGTTTAATTTCTCTTACATTGTATTGAAGCTGTTCTTGTCATTTTATTATTAAATAAAATAATTTTTTCAGAAGTGAAATAGAAACTTTTCTGGCATGTCTAATTTTTTTGTTTGTTTTTCATTTTTTGTGATGAACATCGTAAAATATATATATGTGTGTGTGTGTGTGTGTGTGGTACTTGCTATACTCTAACTATTATACCATAGTTTTAGTGCAATTAAAATACATCCTACACCTAGGATCTGTGGTTCTCAGCAAACAATATTATAAGGGCTTGTGTAGATTTGTTGACTTACGAAGAATACCGGCAAAATAGGTGTCAGTTACAGTATCACATATTTATCCTAGTTGTCGTAAACAGAACGGTAGTTCTTGACTTATTTATGTTTATTTATTTTCTTGACTTTTACATGCAGACGGATGGAGAGTGCTAGAATAGCAAGGTGTAGTTATCGTGCTATAACTGTCGTGATTGCATTGTCTGAACATAGTAAATATGTGGATATTTGTAATGAGATATGTTTAAGGTTTAAGGAACTTAAGGTAGGGAGTTACGAGCTGACATATTCTCTTCCTGAGCATCCTACTTGTTTGCTGCAATCGGATATGGACATGCGTTTGATGCTAATGTGTTTATCAATGTTGAAGATTAGTTTTGTTGATATACTGGTGAAGGATCTGGTGAGTTCAAATAATGAAGATGGTGATCATACAACATCTAATCAAGCAGCTTCTAATCATGAATCGTCTAATCATTCAGCATCTAATCATAAAGCTTCTAATCATTCAGCATCTAATCATGCAGCGTCTAATCAAGAAGCTTCTAATCTTTCAGCATCTAATCATGCAGCATCTTCTTCATGCATGGTAGAAAATAGTGCTATTGACGAGAATGAACATTTGGATAACTCCAGATTGCATGAAAGCATTGCATATTTGTCTGAGGGTTGGAAGGAATATATTAATCATGAAGGTCAGAAGTTTGTGGGCGGGGTAATCGAATTTCGGAACAAGTTGCGTAAGTATGCAGTTGGTATGGGATTTCGTTTTGTCTATCAATCCAATGATAAGTCACGTGTTATTGCTGATTGTTTTAAAAAGAAATCGGATGGATGTAAGTGGCGTGTATATGCTTCACTATGTCAAGCTAATGGTTTTTTCTACATAAGGACTTTAAATAATGTTCACACGTGCATGGGTGTTGGTCGTGAGAAGAAAAGTAAAATGATTACGTCAAAGATGATATCTTCTATTGTAGTTGATAAAATCCGTGAAAAACCGTCAATTAAACCAATAGATATTGTCAAGGACTTTAAGCAGAACTATGGTCTTGAGATTTCTTACTATAATGCATGGTACGCAAAAGAATTGGCTAAGAGCGAAGTTCATGGTGATGAATCCTTGTCTTATAGTCAATTAGTTTGGTATCGTGATGCTTTAGTGTCAACCAATCCTGGATCATCTTGTGTTGTAGAGTGTGATCCAAAGACTTCTCGCTTTCGGAGGCTTTTTGTTTGTTATGGTGCTTGCATTGAGGGCTTTCAATGGTGCAGACCTTTGTTGTTCATAGATGAAACTTTTCTGAAAAGCAAGTATAAAGGGCAGCTAATTGGTGCCACGGGGAAGAATGGAAACCAAGGTATAGTTATCAGACTGGTTAACACTTGCATCCTTATCCTGTATTATGATGGTTCATAAGTTACACATGTTTATGTATATATTATATGTATGTGTAGAGGTATATTTATATATACATATATCATTGAAGCACCAATTACTCATTTTTGTCTTTTTTATATGACTGGTTTTTAGGATTTTTCCCCTTTGCTTTTGCTATCGTGGACTCAGAAAACAAGGAAAACTGGAGCTGGTTCTTCGAAAATTTAGCTAAAGTTTTGACTCCACAAGGTAGGACCATTACATTTGTATCTGATCATAACAAAGATGTGATTGAAGCTGTTTCAAACATATTTCCCACATCCCATCATGCGTTTTGTTTGAACCATTTGAAAGAGAAACTTGGATCTAAATATCCCCCTACAAATGGTAAATTGTTCCGGGATGGAATTGTTGAACGTTTTATGAAATGTGCTCGTGCTCCAACGGAAGCTGCTTTTGAGTTTAATATGAGAAATTTAAAAGAAGAAGGTGGGGCTCCGGTTCAGACTTTTCTAGATAATCTTCCTAAAGAGAATTGGTCATCTGCTCATTTTAAGGGCAATCGATATGGTGAAATGTGTAAGAATGCTTCTGAATCATTTCATTCTTGGATTTTGGAGCTATGTGCGTTGCCTATCTGTCAAATGCTTGAGGGCATCAGGATTAAACTCATGGTCATGGTGTCTGAAAGAAGTCGTGAAGCAGGGCAGTGGTGTTCTGTTTTATGTCCTGAGATGGAGAAAACCTTGAGTGAAATGTTGACTGTAGGTCAGCATTGGAATGCTAGCCGTTCCAGTACTTCTGTCTTTGAGGTTCATGCTGAAGTTTCTGTTATGGTTGATTTGGTTAATCATTTTTGCTCCTGTCATGATTGGCAAATAAAAGGCTTTCCCTGTGCTCATGCACTTGTTGCTGTTCAAAAAAATTCTGGTTGCATGTATGACTACATTGATGATTACTTCAAGTTGAGCTACTATAGAAGTTCATATGCGACTCTTATTTCTCCTATACCTGACACTAAGGATATGATGCATGAGGGTTCAGAAGATGTTATCCTACCTCCACTTATTAAGAAGGGTAGACCAAGGACTAAAACAATTAAATCTGTTGGTAAAGTTCCAAGGGCCATTACATGCAGTCGATGTGGTGCGGTTGCAAGGCATAATAAGAAGACATGTACAGCAAAATTTTGATTTTGTTTCACAGTATTTTCTTAGCAGTGTGCATAAATTCTATGATGTGTTTTTGTACATTTTTCAACATTTTTGTTCATTTTTGCATGGTTCATATTGAAGAAATTGCCAAATGATTACTTCTTCACGAGTTGTAGTTCGATTGGTAAGAAAAAATAGCATTGCTGAAGCAAAAGGGCACAAAACACAGAGGAACAAATAAAATATTATATTAACTGATATCACACAGAACCATGTATCAACAGATCATAGTACCCTGCACTTTCCGCTTACAGCTTGGTTTTTAGCTTTGCTAAACGGATGACATTTGCAAAACGTGGTTGGTTGCTGTCTGAAGAAAACATCTTGATAAGTCTGAGTTTACCTTGTAAAATTCAAAAACATCTAAATCAAATTTCCAGTGTATTTAGAGAATGAGGAATGCACAAGAGAAAATTACAGGGGCTGTTCAAGCTCTTCCTCCAACTTTCAACACTGTTTACAGCCATGCATCGGATATCAGCTTTCTAGACGAACAGGTAGGTCTACCATCCCAATCTCCCCTTTTACTTAGTCTCTACATACAGTGTATCTTTTTTCTCACTCTCTTTTCTATATTTCTCTGTATTGGTTGATTAAATCAGGTCTCCCTTTCTCTGTCCTAGTCTGTGCTTTTTAATATGCTTTCGTATGTTTGGATTGTCAGCTTTGATGATCGAATTTTGTTGAAGTATATTTAGTTGTTTGGTTGAATTTGGGAGTTCAAACTTTTCTTTTTATTAAAGTATACTTAGACATTCCCTTGGATATTTCAGTTGGTGAATGGTTGTTTGCTTCATTGAATTATCTCTCAGTTTTCACCAAACAAAATCTAAAGTAGTAGCACTGTTGATTATATCCCCTCTAGAATGAGAGAGATCTTCTTTAATTTAGACGGATCAGTTGACAAAACTCATCTCTACAAGCATACAAGGAAAAGCCCTTGTGGAAGAAACTAGTAAGGATCAAATGAAATATATCTAGTTCAAGAATAATAAATTATCACTTTAAACCTTCATTAGTCGTGATTACATAGAAAATGCTAGGAAGACTGCATTTTTATACCACATTTGAGTATCACATGATATGAAAAAAAAAAAAGTGTACAGGCAATGTGTATATATGCCTTGTCAATTAATGAATCAATCTCATTGCACATTGGTTATATGCATGTCACATCATGTGGTATTTAAATGTGTTGCAAAAATATGGTCTCTCTAGCATTACTCTGAGCGGTTTATCCCAAAAGAACAACACTTTTCTATATGGACCTCATTTAATAGGAGTGTCCAAAGATCGTCTTTGGTGCCATTTTGACCAATTCAACGAAAATTGAAAGATTTCTTTTGTGCCATTTTGATCAATTCAACGAAAATTGAAAACTATCTTTTAGAAAAGAAATTGATGTTGAAAGGTATTGAGGCTTGATTAACATGTTGTTTTTTTCTTTCTGATGATGAAGATATGTGTTCACAACGATCTAGGAGGGCCAGAGCAAGGCAATATGAGCTGGAGCCAAGCATTACATACGAGTAACACCAAGATAGGCAGACTCTCTTTGATTACATGATTCGTTATAAATAGAGTTCGATCTCCACATGTGTATCAGAGTCTCCGACATGATTTGATCAATCACCTTTGGAGGAGCTTTGGAGATGGTGAATGACGTCCACAATTGTTTCAATCCTCCTTTTGTGTTTCAATTATCTCGTGTGTGTGTGTTTTTTTTTATGTTGTGTGTTTACTTTTGGAATGAAATTAAATTTATGGAATTTCAATTTTTTTAAAGTCAAATTGTTCAAAAAATTAAATTATGACGTTATTTAAAAAAATTAAATGAAGAAAAGTTTTCCATTAAAATAAAATAAAATTAGACTTAAACCATTCTTAAATAATTTAATGAAGTTGTGGACTTAAAATTTGAGTCCGGAGGGTTGGGAGAAAAAACGATTTGAATCCGGGCAAAACCCAAATAGTTACTTTTTGAAAGGAAAAAGGCCTAAGTATCGAATGACTCTAAACATTACACCAAAATGTCAATGAAACTGGTAGAGCCAGACATAGGAGTCTTGGCCTTTTTTATTTAAGACACGAGAGTACAGAACATGAGAGACCTAATTAGCTAGCTCTTGCAAACAACTCCAAAGCCATCCATTACATAGTTGCTTCCATATATATATATGTCTGGCCCAACACACGATGACTTCCTCACTTAGGGCATACAACTTGTTGCACAAGTTTTGATTTCTGCTCTGTTATTGACACCACCACTGCTCCTTTGATCTTGGACTTCTCTTCACCTTCTACTTCTACGGAAGAAAAAGTTATGCTGACTGGTCCTGTGACAAAATTGATTGCCAGTTAGTGCATATAGATGTGCATCATTTGTCAGATCATGTAGTCAACTAATGTCATCACGAAAGACTAAAAGTGAGCTCCCATCTTGTAAAGACATATGTAATGAAAAATAAAAGAAAAGAGCAACTCACCACTTCTCCAACAAATTACAGGTGACAGGAAGACTGTCTGAGCTAGAAGTATCATAAAAAAGATAATCAATCGCTCAATAACTGAATATAGATCAGACTCATACAAGCGCCACACCAACAATACATTTAAAATGTAGGGGATTGTGATGAGTAAAATACCTGGTTTCCTTGATGTGCTATGTCCATAATGTCATGCTAATTCAACGGAACAAGGCTCTCCAAGTAGGCCTCGGCATCACGAAACTCCTGAAATAGGGTAATCGACACGGTGCGAAAGGTGTGATCATCAAAGTTGTACAAATAAAAATCGCTTATCCACTTTGCAAACAGCAGATCATGAGATTTGGTCCTGTAAGGGGCAGGCAAAATGTTGCCAGAATCCAACATCACAATGGAGAGCTTTATTTTAGTCCAAGACTCGCTCACTCCATAGTCCTTCATCACCCAAAACTCATGATTTCCTGCATCTTGCAAAATCCATTGGGATACACACAGGCATTCCCTGAAGGCTCCAAGACTGAAATAAATCAAATCGCTTTCGGTGAAATCGGGCGGGGCTTCAATCTCTCGAACCTCCTCCTCAGCTAAAAGGAAAGCCATGATCATCATTGACTGATCTCCAACTTTCCTTGACAACCAATGGAAGCCTCCATTCACCAAAATCCCCTTTGAATCATCAGTTACAGCGCGTTTGTAGGGATAGCGCTCTTCGATCACACGCCAAGAACCGGTTTTCAGCATGTAGACACCGAAATCAACTCCATCATCAAAGCACCGCCCGTAAACCACCTTGTAATCATCAGCTGAGTGATCAAATCCAAACCCAAAAAGGTGATAAGAACACCCATCCATCCCAAACCCTTCAGGTCCAGGGAGTTTCTTAGATTCCCTGGTTGCTGGGTTGAGCAAATACAAGTCCAAATTGCTCACCGTGAAAAACAGCAACCCATTGCATGGAACCACCAGCATAACGCCACTATCTAGCTCTTCATGGCAATAAACACAGTCAATATCACTCTCCTCGACCTCTGCATCGCCGCCATGATCATTTCGCTTGAGAAACTCATCGATGCCGAAAGAGAAAAGCGAATTACTTCCGGGTACGTCAATTAGGACTCGTCGCCTCTGGTGCAGTATATCCTCTTTCTCAAAGGCTCTGTTGTAGTGAAGTTTGACAAAATCAGGGTGAGTGATCAGAGAAAGCCATGGCTTCGATACGCACCTGAAGCGGCACAGGGACTTGACTGTTACCCGGGAAAGAATGTCGCTTATGATCTCCGTAGGAAGGTTACGCTGGTTTTCCATGGTGATCAAATGCTCCAATGGGGTCTGGTTGATCTGCAGATCCTTGGGTTTGGCGCTGTTTTCTGAGGTTGATGGCAGCTTGGTTCGTTGGGTTCTCGGAGCATCTGGTGTGTGTTGGAATTCAGAGCATATTTCAAAATACAAATTTTAATCAAATGGAGCCAAATGGGTAGCGACCGTTTCTCAGTTTCATGATTTTTGTTAACGCTCGGACTTCTTACGTCAGCTATTAAATAGACCTGACATGATTTTTGTTAACACTCGGACTTCCTACGTCAGCCATTAGATAGATCTGAACAGATTTTTATTAAAAGCTCTGACTTCGTACGTCACCTTTTACATGCATATGAACGGACTTTGTTAAAGCCCAGACTTCCTACGCCAGCGATTAGATTACATCTGACGGTTACAATACTTTATTATGAAAACTTACAAAAACTCGGAGCAAAATGCACTGCACTTCTCTTTATTCACGTTCTTCTTCCTCTGGTCACTTTTCCCCATAAATCTCTCTCTCCTCCCACGTCATTTCTCTTTGTTTTATTTTGAACTGAAATACCACATACCATCAAGACCGTGGGGGTTTCCATTAGAAAAAGTCATTCGTTCAAGTCGTCATTAAAAAGTTCTTGCAAAACTTTACCATGACGGGGAAATCATTGAGTCATTTTATTATTATCGTGGAAATTTCATTGTTTATCGAAAAATCGTGTTCGTTTATTTTGTTTGGTTTATAATTAGATAACTAAATTTTAAAAAAATAAATAAATTTGAGTGAATTATTGCAGGCGTCATCCATATAAAGAGAATCACATTTGATTATTATCATTTCCGGTTCATTTTTATCTAGCAAACTATGTTTTTTTATTTACAAATTTCAGATGACCCTTGAAGATTCAAGGTATTTACCCAATGCAAGCGTTGCAAGTGTGCACTCTTATAAGGGTTAAGGTGGTTGTATTCTAAAAGTTAACCTGCTTCATTGATATATTGCCTCCAAGATAGTGTTATAACATGCCTCAACTTAAATTTTGTTCTAACTAATAGCACTCATGAAGAAGAATTTATATATATATATATATATAGTAGGAAAATAATTTTTTGTTATTTATTCTTTCTATTTAATCTATTATGGATTCCAATTATTAATCTATACACATATATATATATATTAAGGCATAATAAGTTCTTAAAATGAAGCATTCAAAATCCCTATAACTCCTCTTGGTTCATGAAAATACTAAAATATTAAACATTTCATTAAATAAGGATAAAATATTATATTCACAATTTATTTAAATTAAAATAAAATAGGAGCAATACTACAATTGTCCATAAATAAAAAAAGACAACCACCTTCAAACCTTTCGAATCTTAAAAAAAAAAAAAAAAGTTATATATCTCAAGAAAAAATCAGTGAAGTTTTAATAATTATAGTATTAGTGAAGTTTTGTAGCTTAAGATCTATCAACAAACAATCAGTGAGTGCGTAAACCTCCAGAGTAACTATAGCCCTCTCTCTCCTACATCCATTTTCACTTTGAGAGGGAGGAAGCCACTGTTCTTCCTCCCCTCCCCTCTCCCCTCTTCTCTTCCTCCTTTATCCTCTTCCCTCATTTGCAGAGACATAATGTTTCCTCTATTTGTCTTCGTTTTGTTATGATTTTTCATATTACCATCATAGGCAGTTACATCTCATCGTTGGATCTCTACATCCATTTCGGCGTCGGATCTCCACCACCATCCTTTTTGAGGTTTCTTTACGTTTGGAATAAGTCGCAAAAGTTCTTTGGGTTTTCTGTGTAGTTTTCACATCTCCTTTTGTGAGAGCTTTTCACTTCCCCTTTATGAGAGCTTTTCATCTCTCCTTTGTAAGAGTTTTATTTGTATTGTCATGCCTTAGTTTTTTCAAGCTTTATCTCTTTTTTATTATTTTTAGTTTGCAATCTTAGTTGGAATGCCTATGCCAAAGTTTTTTTTTTTTTATCTTGCTTGATTGTTATTAAAGGAACATCTTATTGTCTTAATTTTGATGTTAGATCGCTCCGTTATTGAAATGGCCCTTCATGGCTAGTTTGTATTGGCCCTTTGTAGCCAATGTTTTTTTTTTTTTGGCTGAATTATGAATGCAATCCCAGAATTTCTCAACAATAAAATAAGTAACATATATCAACTAACATTTCTAAGATTATGAATTATGACCCCATTTGGTGGGTTGGATTGGACTAGATGAGTCCAAGTAATTGGACATAGGTCCAATCCGGATTGTATTGGTGAGTTTTTACTTTTTTATATTTGGACATGTTTTATTGTGATGGGGTAAAAGCAAATAAGTAGTATGTGATGGGGCTTGCTTACTTTTAATTATGCGAGCATGTTTTTTCATAAAATTAATTATTTGTGATATTAAATAAACACAATATATATATATAATATTGAAGTCCAATATAGTCTTGTACCAAATAGCGCAGTGGTCTTAAGTCTAGTCTAGTGCTGCTTATTGATCTACCAAACAACTCAAGGCGCTTCTATAATGAGGGGTATTTTGGTGAGGGGGTTCAATGAGGGGTTCAATCCAACCCTTCAATTATAAAAATGGTTCAAGTCCAATATTTTCTCTCTCTTGTTGGATAGTGGGATTAAGCCCCTCTCACAACCTCCTCATTAGAGCATCTCCAACAGTCTCTTCAACATATTTGGAATTCTAAAATAGGTGAGCTCATATCAGAAAAACTCTCTTCAACAACCTCTTCAACCTTAGTCATCAAAGTTACAACCTCTTTTTCTCTTCAGGACTGATAAGTTGACTTTGGCTCTTCAAACATTTAATTTTACTTTGGAAAAACAAAACTTACCTTGAAAATGTTAAAAACATGCTTTTTTTTTCTTTTTATATAATAAATACATAGACTTTTTTCATATTTTCATAATTTTCATTCTTTTCCATGATACTGCATTAATTGAATTGAAGAGTCAATTGGAGTAAATTTTATTCAAGTAGCAAATAAGGCTTTTCAAATTGCCACGTTGGTTAACAAACTTCAATTTGAAGAGTTTTATTTGCTACTACTGTTGAAGATGCTCTTATAGCATTTCCGAACAACTCAGAGGACTTAAAGTCCAACCCAGTTCAACACTCAAAGTCTTATCCTAATTAATCCAATCCGGTCCACCAAACAAGGCTTATGAGTTTTTGCTTTGGATTGGATCGTTTGTATAAGCATTAGTGGTTGGTTTAGCTATTTGAGCTTTGGGCCTATGTAACAAGAAAAGAAAAGGTTTCAGAGTGATAGACCATCTTCCAGTTTTCTAGTGAGCTATTTTTCTCTAACAATAACAAATTGGAAGGTATGATCATATATCAAACCATGGATTTGGAGTGGGTAAGCACTGAGACACAACCAAGTCTCCAATCTTGGTCATTCATAAATAAATAAAAATGGAAAGGAGAGATCATGAACCAAGCCCTTTTTTTTTTTTTTCTTTTTTTGGGAAAGAACCAAGCCCTATTTGTCCAAAAAGAAATGCTTTGAAAATTATATTTTCTTATTATATAGGAAACCACTAAAGATTGCTTATGACTTTTATTAGGTTTTGGGATCTTAGGTCTAATGGTCTTTGAATTTTGACCCGAATTGCATTTTGGTCCTTCAATTTTCAAAATCGTCCATGTGGTCCTTCAACTTCAGTTTTGTTAGGAAAAATGGTCATGCCGTCAATTTTGTTATCTTTTCCATTAAATGCAAGGGCAAAATGATATTTTTATATTATTTTTAATTTCCACCATCTGAATATTCCTTTCACCCGAAATTTGGGTATGTGTAGAGTAACTCATATCATGCTTTGTTTCTAAAGCGTCATGAAGGTAAATTAACAGTCTTAATTATTTATATTGATGATATGAGTGTAACTGGAGATAATCAAGCAGAAATGCAAAATCTTCAAAAATATATGGCTTCCGAGTTTGAGATGAAATCATTGGGTGATTTATAGTACTTTCTTGGAATTGAAGTTGTCAGATCTAAACATGGTAGCTTTCTATCCCAAAAAAAGTATATTTTGGATTTACTTGCAGAAACTGGAATGTTATATTGTAAACCAATTGATACACCTAGTGAACAGAATCATAAGTTGGAGTTGTATCCTAATCAAGTCCTTACTAATAAAGAGCATTATGAACGACTTGTGGGGAAATTGATTTATTTAGCTCATACACGTCCTGATATTGCATATGCAGTGAGTGCAGTAAGTCAATTTATGCATTCTCCTAGTGAAGATCATATGGGTGCTGTGATATATATATTTTGATGTATCGGAAAGTAACTCTTGGTAAGTGGTTAATGTTTTCCAAGTATGGTCATACAGATGTGGAAGGGTATACAGATGTTGATTGAGCTAGTTTAGTCATTGATAGATGTTCTACGTCTGGGTATTTCACATTTGTTGGTGGTAATCTTGTTACTTGGAGGAGTAAAAAGTAAAAAGTGGTGTCTCGGTCTCGTGCTGAAGTCGAGTATCATGGAATGGCTCAAGGTGTGTACAACTTACTGTGGTTGAGGAGATTGTTGAGAGATCTTGGGTTTGCGCCCCATAAACCCATGGATTTGTATTGTTATAACAAAGCTGCAATTGCGATTGCTCATAACCCTGTGCAACATGATCGTACAAAGCATGTGGAGGTTGATCGACATTTTATTAAAGGGAAGGTGGATACTGAGATTGTTTCTTTTTCGTTTATATCATCTGAGTATCAACAGGCAAATGTACTTACAAAAGCTATGTCTACACTTGCTTGACAAGTTGGGCATGCGTGACATCTTTGCTCTAACTTGAGGAGGAGTGTTAGCGAGATTCTAACTTAATCAGGAGATTTATTTTCTAGTCTATTAGGATTCTATTTTTTTCCCTTTTGTACAAATATTGTGTAATTATGATTTTATCTTATTTACTTGTATAACCCTATTAGGGTTACAACCTTGTATTATAAAATACCTCCTTTTGGAAAATGAAATATATATGAAAATATTCTACCTATATATTGTTTGATTAGATATTGGCAGCATGAAGTAGATTAGTTGTAATATTTTGTATTTGGTTGTTAATGCATAAATGTGTTTTCAATAAGAGAATTGATTGGGTGATCAGTAATGTGATGTTGTTACCCCTTTCTCTCTGAGCTAAACAGAACACGAGTTTCATAATCTATATATA